TTCGGGCTTTCGTCGCCAAACACAATACTCCTGTGGTTCGTCATGCTCCGTACTCTCCCCACATGGCTCCGTGGGACCTTTGGCTATTTCCCAAGCTGAAAATGCCGCTAAAAGAAACCCGAATTTAGTCGAGAGAAGACATCGTGCAGAATGCGACGGACCGGCTGATGGCCATTCCAAAAGATGCGTTCCAGCAGTGTTTCCAGCAATGGCAGGAGCGCTGGGAGAAGTGTATACATTACCAAGGAGACTACTTTGAAGGGGATTAGGGTTTTGTTTCTTAAAGTCAATAAATTTATTTTTGCCGACCAAAGGTCCGATACTTTTTGAACAGACCTTGTAAATGCAATTTGTAAGAAGTAATCTTCCGATTAATTCAAATTATTCTTTTTGGAAGCTAACAATTATACTGTGAATAAGAGCTATATTTTGTTTGAAAGAAATCTTTTTGAAATATTAAAGTGATTTTTATTGTTAATTTAGAGATCATCTGGTTATTATCGACTGGAAAACATCAAAAAGGCATAAACGAACTTTTTCCAGCACCTACGACAATCCTTTACAATTAGCAGCCTATGTGGGTGCCATCAATTTCGATACGGCGCACGATTTAAAGGTAATTTTCAAAAAATAACTGAATCAGTTCCCATTCCTTTTCATATGGTTTATTTGTTTGATTTTATATTTTCAGGTAGATTCGGCCGCTCTAATAATTGCCTATGAAAATGGAGATCCCGCCGACGTTCACTACATGCCATCCGCTCTGTGCCATGTATACTGGAAAGAGTGGTTAAAACGTTTAAGACAATATTGGAATATTATGAATACAAAAGAAACTAATTTGTAAATTATTTTTAAAATATACATAAAATATATTTTATTTTCAAATTTGTTATACAATTTTTACATGTTTTTCAATATAAAATTTTAGAATAAGTCACTTGTGGTGTTCCCAGGTTCTTGCATCCAAAACGAAAGTTAGACGCTTAATTCCATACAGACTATTATTATTATTAACTCAAAGTAAAAATTTCCAAGAGGTATGTATTATTAATTTAGAAATGATATGTAATGTACGAAATACTAATTTTTCTGATACAAAACAATTGTCAATGCGCGGGTAGTTACAAATTATTATTTATTTATTTATTATCTCTCTCCTTCTCAGCAATGTTAATTATAATAGCCTATATGAACACACCTGAATTCTACTTGCCGAGTTTTTTTTCTCTTTATTCAAACGTTTTCAGCTTATTTGGATAGGCTATCCTCAGGTTTTCCGTTATCGTTCCAAAATGGAACCATTCATTCGAATTTTACTTTGATTTGAATTTTTGAAATAAATTAACAACTTTTTGTATATTACATAAATAAACAAAATAAATAAACTAAAGAAATAAAGTAAAATAAATAAATAAAATAACATAAAATATGTCCCTATACATGCTACAAAAATTACATAACATATTTTTACATGCGTCTAAATCATAATATAATAACTTCTTATAATATCCAGTTCCTATTTTATGGGTTATTGAAATGCATACATTTTTCTATTTTGTATTTCCATCCTTTTCATTTAAACATTGGTTCCTCATTTTACTTTTGTATATCTCTATTTTTTCCATTTCCATCGCTATAGACGGTGAGTGCACCGTTCTTATGATCTTCGCTTCATCCCACTTAACTATTGCTCCGTCCGCCTGCACCATGCTTGCCAATATCGTGCTATTAAGTCCTTTTTAACACTGTATTTGTGCTCTTTTACACGCACTGCAAGGTTTCTTCTGGTCACCCCTACACATTCTTTATCGACTCCTATTTGTTGGTTTTCATATGGGATAGTGTACACCCCCGCTTGCTCTTCCATTTTTATTTTGTCCTTATCGTTCCTTAATAATCTATATATGTTGGGTGCTCGTTTGTAAATTATCTTTGTGTTTTTGTATTTTCCTAGCTCATCCACTACTTGTTTGTTCATTGTATGTGAACTTGTTGAATGCAGTTGTGTTGTTATGTGTTGTAGTTTTTTGTTTCCCATAACTTCTGATAAGGCCTCTGATTGTGGACGTTTTGTATCCTAAACTCCTTGCTACCTTTTGTATTCTATCCATTTCCTTGTCACGGTCTTGCACATTGGTGCAGTACAAGATGGCCCTCTTGATAAGTGTCTTAAATGCAGACAGTTTATATCTATACGGGTTCTTCTTGTACTGCACTGGCGAAAATTTAAATTTGCCGACTGGAATTCTTTCGGATAATTGACTTTTGGATAATCGACGCTCTACTGTATTGTATTTAAATTAGTAGATGTTATCGAAGCAAGAATTGGCATTTAGAGGGCATAGGGAATCTATTAAATCTATTAATTGAAAATACATATAGTGAAATCTTACGGAACAAACGAATACGAATGGACCCTAGACCATCACTGACTGACTGCCCCAGGAAGTCGGCTTCTTACAGAAACACAGCTTCCCTGTCATCAAATGTCACGGCACGCCACTGTATCATCTGTAATTTCGTAAACGAGCAAATTCGGCAAAATATAGTTATTTGAATAGCGTGGACAGTCAAACAGTCGCTCTTTTTAACGTTCCTACTTTACTGGCTAGGCGTCGTTAGTACTTCCGGTGGATGACTGTTCCATGTACAGTGGAACCTCGCTTAACGAGCATTCCAGAATGTTATTCGTAATGCGAAACATTTTTCCCATATAAATGAATGTAAAATACGATAATGCGTTTCACGCCGAAAAAATAGTCAAATATTTTATGTATAACGTGTATTCAAAGAAAATTATATTGTACAGTAGAGCGTCGTTTATCCGAATCAATTGGGGACTGGGGTTGTTCGGATAACCAATTATGTACGAAAAAATATATTAATTTATCCCGTGTTAAAATTTTTCTCCGTTGCGTGTCGCTTCACGTAGAATTTTCGTCAATGTTAAGCCTAACGAAGACTATTGTATCGTTAAAAATGATTTCTTTATGTTTTACAAACAAAATAAATACATTGAAAAATATAAAAACAATAAAAAAATTATACTTCAGAAGTTAATTTAGTATCAAAAACGTAAAATATTTGAGTAGCCGAAGACATAGCCAAAGATTACAGCGCCACAGCANTGTTAAAAATGATTTCTTTATGTTTTACAAACAAAATAAATACATTGAAAAATATAAAAACAATAAAAAAATTATACTTCAGAAGTTAATTTAGTATCAAAAACGTAAAATATTTGAGTAGCCGAAGACATAGCCAAAGATTACAGCGCCACAGCACTAGCGAAAAATTAAATTTGTCAACTGGAATTCCTTCGGATAAACGACGCTCTACTGTATTTAATTATAGCCTTTACATAGCCCAAGAATTTGCATATTGTTTGGCGTGTTTGTTATATAATGGTTGTTGATGTTTATATGTAATATGTTTGAACACAAGTTTGGAAAAATGTGTGATCACAACCGACACTAAGGGTAGAGTTATAAACTCCGTAACGTAACCGTATTCGGTAAGAAAGGCTTGGATCGACCGAACTTACGGTAGGGATACGGCGAATTGACGAAATGCGCATGCGCTAAATTCGCTATACAATCGGAAGTTGTGCCAAAAGCAACAAATTGGTTGAAACGTATCTTTTGACTGGCAATGCTACTTCTGAACAATATAAAATTTTAAGATAAGAATTTTTTGGTCATAAAACAGTAGAAAAATGATAAAATGAATAAATATAGCGTTAGATCTGACAACAGCAGCCGATGATTTTGCTCATTCTCACGATGGACTGTTTCGTAAGCCGTAAAAAAAGTTTGTTCCTTAAAGGATAAGGAAACGGCCTTACGGTATTTTATAGGTTGGTTGGTTGGTTGTGGTTTTTTGGCGCTAGGGCCATAAAGGGCAAGTTGCGCCACGTCAAATGATTAGTTTGCCCAACTCAATATATATATATTATATAAAATAACAACTGATGTAACGAATATTCGGTTACTATTCGGTATTCGGCCTATTTTTCAGTATTCGGCCGAATACCGAATACCTAAAAACAGGAGTAATAAATAACAAAAACACAGTAAATTAATCGTTTTGGTATTTAGATTTAATGTTATCGAGTTAGTGTTGTTTGTTTATATTTATTTATAACTTGTAACATGCACAGAATATATAAAAAAATAATATTAGTCACATGTATTCACAATTTATAATTACAAAGATACACACCTACTCGTTCGAGAATCACACGTACACACCTATTCGTTCGAGAATCGTCGCACATCTGAGGGTCTGACCCTGCCTATCCTTCTTTTTAAGCGCTCGTCTTTGCTTTTCCCTTTCTCTTACCTCTATCGCTCTAATCCATGTATGCCTGTGCATACATCATAATACGCGCTCACGATACTTTCGATTCGTCACTTTTCCGTCGTAGAGTTCCCATTTTACAATTACGTGACTCAGCCTGGTGATAACGGAGAAAAGAGACAGATAGGACGTCGATATAAGTCACAGTTATGATTTCACAGATTCGAGACAGCTTGATAGCCCGAATGGCCCCAGGCTTTCGCCCGTGCACGCTAAGTGACTTTCATTACAAGCATTTAGCTTTCGGAAGTCTATGACAACAATTGTTTGGCATTGACGGGCGCGAACTTCGTGCCAATAAGCTGCCTCGACTTGTTCGATTATGTTATCAACTCAATTTCATATTTATTTTCACATTTTCACTTCGCGGTCCTTCTCTGTTCTTTTTCCGTAATTTACAAGTGTAGGTCATTTGATATCATCATTTATCACATACTTCCATGATACTTGTCTGTTGGCTACAACTGCCAAGAATTAACGCGATTGGCGAAGCGTAGTGACAGAGGGCCAATAGAGAGCAGGATCGTTGCCATAATGCGGTTTGCGCGCCAATTTTCGTACGTGCGTTAGTCAAGCCGAATATTCGGTATTCGGCCTGAGGCCGAATATACTATTCGTTACAACACTAAAAATAACAAATAATCAACAATGAGTATATACTGTATACATAATAAGAACAAACAAACAACACACAAAAAAGTGAGAAATAAATAAATAGTTAAATCTCTTTGTACAAATTAGTGACCTTTAAAACATCCAATGCATTATAAAGATTGGGCCTCTGGCCCAGAATCTCTGTCAAACACCTTATCTACGCCCGGTCTCAAAGGCAGAGCAATCGAGCAGTAGGCCTATGTGTTATAACTATTGCTATAGATATCCGGTGTAGCGAATATTTACGAATACGGATACGGTTACGTTACGGAGTTTATGACTCGACCCTAAGATGCTAGCGGAACGAGTGCTAAACGCAGACTGATGGAGCGTGCGCGCAATCCGGGACTTCCCTCTCCTTGTCACTCGTTATGCGAAACGTCACTCGTTAAGCGAGTCCTTTTTACAATTTGTTTTGCTCGTTATGCGAAATTCCATGTATATTTAAAGTAAGCCCATTTCTATGATTTATCGATGACGTATGTTCGAGGGCCGTAGCTTCAGCCCGCCACCGTACGGTATTTAATATTACGCACCGTTTTGATCATGCGTAATATTAACGCGGTCCGAGAAGCGAGAGGCTGTAACGTTTCTAATTCTGTCAGTGAATTGCCGTAGCAGCGGTATTACTAACGGGACCATCCCGTTTTTAGGTAACTTTTCTCGTTGTCTCCGGGAGGACGAAATGTCCCGTTTTCAGAATGAGAACAATCCACGGTAACAATTTCGAAAAAATCAAAAAATTATCCGACGTATCGCGGCATGACGGCTCGGCAATACGTCACGTCTCACACATGAGAGTCGGTCGGAAGCCCGGTAATTCGCTGGCTCCTGGGTCGCGAGTACGCCTAGACCGCTGGCGCATCTTTCTTAACCATTGATTATTGTTTTTTATCGATTGTAATCAATTTAAATTTCTCGTACGTCATTCTTCGTTTTAACAATGCCTAAACGCCAGTGCATTTTTAATCTTAACTTACAAACTAACTACCTGTTTATAAAGCAAAGTACTCAGTGGACGTCA